CTAACATCTGTATCATGGTCAGTAGCGTCTGTAGCACAACAGCAACGCTGTGATCCGCCATTGTTGTTGTTGTTGGCGAAACGCATCAGCAATGAGGCGGGGGTGAGCAGCAGAGGCGGGGAGAGGCGGGGAGAGGTGGGGCTATCGTTATTTTTTCAGGAAATATTCGTATAGAGGTGATTACACAGACTCGGTTGACCCCCCAGAGCGTTTTGTTTGCTAATCTATCCACCTTGGGACCCGTTATCGTTTGTGGGGTCCGTTTCTATCGGCCTCGTGTAAATAATAGGGCTATACGCAAGAGAAACTATGCAGATACAAGCCGTTTCGTTCTCGTGTAAATGTGGCCTAAGCTCCAGCAGAACAATAGCAGGGATGTCTGGGCTGGGATGAAGGCTATCACTGGCTTCAGACTGACTGTGGGCACCCTGGAGAGGGCCAACGAGCTGAACACCTTCTTCAATAGGTTTAGCTCTCCGCCCGCTGCTGTCTCCTCCACCTCCACTTCTCACCTCACCTCCTTCTCTCAGCCTGGCGTCAGCATCCCCCCTCTGCTCACACCTCCACTTCACACCTCTCCTCCACCACCCAGACTGGCTTCTGCACCCCCCCTCTGCTCACATTGTCGCTGACCCCCCCCCCCTCTGCTCATCTTGCCTCAGACGATGCCATTATTTACCTGCTGCAGCGTGCTCACTCATGCCTGAATGGATCGGGTTGCACTGTGAGAATCACCTTTTTTGATTTCTCCAGCGCATTCAACACGATCCAGCCTCGGCTACTGAGTGACAAGCTGCAGGCTATGAGGGTAAACTCGTCCACCATCTCCTGGATTACCAACTACCTCACGGACAGACCACAGTACATCCGGCTGGGCAGTGTGCTGTCTGATGTGGTGGTTGGTAGTATTGGAGCCCCACAGGGGACTGTGCTGTCTCCTTTCACACCAGCGCTTTTCCCTTTCTAGATCCTAGCGAGAGCTTTTCTGGTTCAGCTCCGGTTTCCCTTTTCAGCTCCCGCTCTGTTCACACTGCCCAGAGCTGCCGCTGCTGCGTCATGACGTCACAGTTTACGTCGCTGATTATCTCCCACAACAACAACGGGCCGGGGACTGCGTCGGGTCGATGATCGTGTTGCTTTTAATCATACGAAGCCAGATTAAATTAAATAACGACTTCTCCAACCTTATACTTTTCTCCAGAGTGCCGTGGTTCATTGTTTATTAATGTGTTTCAGCGGCATTTAGCGACCGCTGCAGTGCTGGCTGCTCTTCCACGGGAGTTTATTCTCCCGTTAGCTCCGGGTTAGCTCACACGGCTCTAAAGTATTCACTGTCTGACTGTCACACAAGCAGCTGATACATATCCCCAGTTCCCCTTAAGTGAATGTGTGTCAGTCTGAATTGACGCTGTTTGGCATCACAACGCTGTTATGACAGTTTCTCTGGTATAACATGGGTGATGTTAGCATAGCAACCGAAGCTAAACTGACTACTTGCTAAGCCGTTTTCTACAGGCACATTTTACCGGCGTATTTTTCATTATGATTCTACTTGTGATAGTCGGACATGACAACCTGTACAGCCCATGTATCTCCACAATGATCAATAACAGCGAACGGATGGTCAAAGTAAGGTTTCCTGCACGCCTCGACGTAAGAGACGTAAGCGACGCCGCGTCATAGCTCCGAAGCTCTTGCCTCTGGACCAGTGGCGGCGCCAGGGTATGGCTGGGGTAGGCTACAGCCATACCAAGAAATGGCTTAGCCCCACCTTAGCCCCACCATGAAAAGTGATGCAAATTCAATTAAATAATAAGCGAAATGCTAAATGTTGAGAACACGGATTGCGAAAATATACGGGTCGTGTCCACAGCACACAAACTGATCCTGCTGTAACAACAAGTGCACGTTACTGATGCAATATGGTTGAGACCATTCGGGCTTATGCTATAAGAGGGGTGCAATGAATAGTGAAGTAAAAAGATATGATTCTACACTGTATTGAAGTAAACATATATTGTTTGAACTGTTTTATGTAATCACAAACGGGTTTTGATAATCACTTAGAAAAAGAATGTTATTCTCACTTTTAAATTCACTGACTTAGAGATTCTGTGTTTCACACACCAACATTGATCCTTATCACCACTAAGAGCCAGATGCGGTCACTAAGTCGTTAAAAGACATCGTAAAATAAGTGGAGAAGAGTTTAAATGTCTGTGGGAGAATGGTTTAGGTGAAAAGAACCCCTGGGAAGGAATGTAGAGTAAGATAAGGTAAAGATAAACATTGACTTTTGACCTAGTGTGGTTTGGGGTCTCACTCTGTTCGAAACTCTGATTGACCTCAGCCAGAAGCGAATCCAGCCAATCAGGACACTTGGAGGAGGTGGTCAGTTTAAACAGCTCCTCCCCAGGGGTTCTCTAATTCGCTTGGGAGAAAAGTGGGAAGGAAGAGATGACCCATCTCCGCCCCAAAAATGGATAGAAATACTGATGATTTTGAGTGTAAAATGCTTCTGGTTTGCTGAAGGCAGGTCTAGAAGACGGTAAACCGCATCCCAAACTTGAAGTCTGTACTTCTCGTTTCCTGAAGGCTGGTCTGTCTATCTGTAAACCGCGTCACAAACCTGAAGCCCGGAGTACTCGAGTACTCTGTATAACTTGTATATGTGTTTGGTTTCCTACTAGAAGTAAACTCAGATAATTTGTTATAACTTTGATTCCGGTGTTTTCAATTCCTTTCTTAATTTAATAGAGATCCAGCCTCATCCAACGAACGGCGCGTAGCAGAGGTATTCTACTCCAACAATAGTCTGAGTAGTGGGGGAGTTTTATACACTAAAGGTGTGGAAATTCTCTGGCGTTAAAATATCAGCGCGGCCGCGGTCAGATCAAAATGCCTCCGAATGCAATTTGAATAGACCTAAAGCCAATCAGAGCAACGCAACGTTGGATCTGCGTCATGCCTTACTGATTGAGATCAATCGGAACCGCCATTCAGTATCCCCATTGGATCTTCAACGTGTACTATCATACGTCACGTTCACAGTGATCCCTTTTTATTTACTACAAGACAAATGTGCCGTTTTATTTCATACAGTTCCATTTTGATTGAGACAGGGAAATAATCTAAACCTCACGCGTGGCGTTTCACTGTCATGGGGGGCGATATAGCGTGTATGTAATTACATTGCAAATACTGACTTGAGCACCACCACTGTATGGGTTAGCCCTACCATAGATTACCCAACAAAAATGCTCTGGCGCCGCCACTGCTCTGGACCGACAATTTTTTGGAGCTGGAAGTGAACCGCATTCCGGAGCTATGGCACGCCGGCGCTGCGGTGTGAACAGGAAAAACCGGCGCTTTTCCAGCTCCAGCTCCGAGCAGGAGCTGGAAAAGCGCCGGTGTGAAAGGGGCATAACAGACTGCTGCAGCTCCCCTGTCACAAGGACAGATACTGGAAAACATTCCTACCCACTGCAATAACACTGTACAATAAATCACCTCTGGCTGGAAGAGAACTCTCTGCTCCATAGTTTCTCTAGAAATTAAACCACGTTGTACATTTTACTCTATAATCTGTTCAATATTTATACTCCATATTCCATAATGTCATATATTTTGAATATATATATATATATTTGTATATATATATATATAATATCTGCATGTATATTTTCTATTTCAACATGTATATTTTCTATTTTATTTTATTTTATTTTTCTTTCTATTCTTGTATATTTTGTAGTTTTGTTTTATTGTAAAATGCCTTTTATGCTGCTGTAACAACAACAATTTCCCAATTTGGGATCAATAAAGTACTATCTATCTATCTATCTATCTATCTATCTATATAATAATTGTGGGATTTCTATTGCATCCAGGGCCGTCCCTTGGCACTGGCGAACTAGGCGGTCGCCTAGGGCGCAAGATTCTGGAGGGGCGCTGCGCTGGGATAAATAAATAAATAATAAAACAAATATTAAAATGAATTTTTTTTTAATTTGTATTCTGCCTAATTTTCTGCCCTTGATGTATACATTTACATTAATAATTGAATAAAGTAAACACCCTTTGCACCCCGGGCCAGCAACATTTTGCATTTGCCCTGTACGATGGGCGCTGTAAGTGATGAAAGTGGGGGATGTTGACTTATCAGGCGCCCGCAGCTCACAGCCAAAGTGCGAGCGAGCCTCCGAGCGAGCAAGAGAGAGAGAGAGAGAGAGAGGGCGCGCATCGGTACCGATTGTTGTTGGATTGAGGCTGATAACTACAGCTCAGTGAGGTAAAGGACTTTGGTCACAATTTATGTAAACAAATATTTCCAAGGCACTCCTTTATAATTATTAGTATAAATAACAACAGGTTTGAAATCATTCCAATGTATACTATAGGACAGTAAACCAAAAATATTGTTTAAAACTGGAGATATTAAAAAAAATGCATTACTAAATAAATGTTAACTATGTAAAATAAGATATGAATGAACAACACAAATAAAATACGTTACATTCATTTGTTATTGGCTATGGGTTATTGGTTATGTTCACAAACTTATTTGATTATTAAAAATGTAAACCGATCTTTTTCCTATGGGTGTTTTAGAGTTGTACCCCCTAGATCTAGTCTCTAGTAATTCTGCCCCCAATTAAAACATGTTCATACAATACTGAATACATTTGAAACCTCCTTTATGTGTCAATATACGTTTCAGTTTTTTGTAGTGTATTGGTCTTTTGTAGAGATTTTTCATTTATTCTTTATATATTCTATTGTGTATTGCTTGGGGGGGGGGGGGGGAGGGGGCACCACATCATAATCTCGCCTATACCAAAATGTCTAGGGCCGGCCCTGATTGCATCCACTTCATCTGCAACGAAGAATGCCAACGCAATTTCCGCCATTGCAAACCGAGTCAAGCCGACTCCGTGCTGTCCGGACTTCAGGCGAGCTTTTTGAGACCTCCCCCGGCTGCAATCGGCTATTCACGTCTACTTTCGAGGCGAGCCGCAGCTCATCTCAAACAAGCCTAATCACTTCCATTCTAGGCCCGCCCAGCGCCGTATAGATTGAACCAGCGCCATGGCGCTGAATTGAACATTCTATTATACGGCTCTGGGCCCGCCCATGACTCAGGGAACGCCCTCCTCGTGCAGGTGACGTCACACATCGAAGGGTCTCTAACTTCTTGACGTGAGCCTCCTTTTTAGACTCTGTCCGCCACTCCCCGAACACCCATGCCCTCTGCTCATGGATGTACCGCAGATGTATGATGGAGGAATGAACGTCCAGAAAGAACGTGTAGCGATATTTTCTGCACCTTACTATCGTTACAGCGGAAGTTGGACTTCGGCAGCGGGATATAAAGTAAGTTACCAAGTGTTGTGTGAGATTGTTTATACATGGTTTAACTTTATTTGACTAACTTCAGTTTTGCTCTTTCGACCCGAGCCCGTAATATAGTCAAGTCTACTCATAATTTGTCATTAATTTAATCTACACACAGTCCTCCATACCGTGACGCAATTGTGATGTTGTGTTTTTATTTTTTTATTTCCAATGTGGGCTTTTACACTTAACAGCAATAACTACTTATTATTGCTTGGCTTTTATCTGCTATGTCACTTTATCTGTAACGTTGGCAACCTCCCCGCTGCGGGACTAATAAAGGAATTCTGATTCTGAATAACTGAGAATTAAAAATGACTAGTATGATAATTAACCATTCGTTCAGCGTTCACATTCATCTTTTGGTAGGCTATATGTGGCTCCATAGGAACACTTTGATGCACATTCAGTACGAGTGTGTGAGGTTGTGTTTGCGATTCCGATACCAGGACGCTTACAGCTAGGAGTAGGAAATGACAATTGAGGTGTCCTGGGTTGTCTGTTAAAAAAATTGCAAGCTTTAATAAATCATTTAAACCAGTTATTTTGCCAGACTTATTACTGTACATCGTTGTGAAACCAAATCCATATGAGACCTGTGTGTACACACACACACACACACACAACGCACACGTTGTTTACGCAAAGCTCGAAAGCAGCGTGGAGAAGTCTTCAGCTGTGGTAAACTGTGATCCGCTCCGATTAAACAGTGAGAGTTGAGTCTGAGCAGTGATATGTGAGATTATCAACTAAATTATTCATATTCTGATCCAATGCACCATATTAAGTAGGCCATGGGGGTTCAGTATGTTCATATCTGATTATAGTTTACAGCTCACGCATTCTGCCCAGGGCCGTATCCAGGATTTCCTAAATACCGAGGTCCAAACATGCTAGCGGGGATCGGGGGTATACCCTCCCCGAGATTTTTGGGATTTTCACGATCTAGTTAGGTGCTTTTTAAGTCCTGTGGGGGGTCACAAATTGGATAATATATTGATTTCAAACCATGTCAGTGGGCTGCAGCATAAATTATTTTTGAAAGTGTAATGCATAATAATCAGTTGATTGTTACTATTAATGATCTGGACATGCAGAAGAGGCTAAAATGATCACAAAACATTGTCAACATTCATTTTTCCATGTCTCTCTCCTTTCCATAACTGGCACCCTCTTGTTACTCTCTTCCATCTTCTTTAGTCTCTCTGTCTTCTTCCTGTTCATTACTCTCTCTGTCCTCTACTCTTTCTCTTTGTTCAATCTCTCCCTCGTTGTTCACTTTTTGCTCCTCCGTGTTGTCGCTCCTGCCAGTGAATTAAAACCAATTCAGCAATTTAGTTCATTTCACTTGTTTGTTTGCATTATTTTTTTTATTTAAATCTGTTTTGTTTGATTCTCAAAAGAGAACAAAGATGTAAGCAAATTGTGTTTTATACAATTGTATGTTATTATGACATCATAACTGCAATAGATGTATGTTGTTTTAAAATTATGCCTATTGTCTATATTGTAAATGAAGACTATTGTTATAGATAGATAGATAGATAGATAGATGGGGTTATTAAGCCTACATTCTTTTGTGTGACTGTACCTGCAGTTCCTCCCTGACTTCCATCACTTTCTCTCTCTCTCTTTCTCTCTGCCTGTCCTGTCTCTTCCTTACCAAAGCTGAGCTTCGACTGACGTAGTCTTTTCATTATATCTGAGTCAGTGTAAAAAGAAAACAATACAATGTTATATCTTCAATGTTTTACTCAAATTGAAATGAAAGAAAAGCATTACAACGTTTGTTAAAAGGTAATCCTTCTGACATTGGATGAATGTAATTAACTTTAGCTCTCTAGCTAGTTTATTCACGCAATTTAAACCAAAGTATAGCCTATAGCTGCAATATAAGTTAGTGTGCATGTTGTCGGACGTCCACTGACTAACGTAGAGCGTTCACACAGGATCTGCTGGTCATATGATGTCCGGATGAACAGAAACACGCAGTGGTTTGTTGATGCATGTCGTCTTCTTCTGTTAGCTTTAATCGAGGCTACGTAGTTATGCAGGGCCCCCATTGTCAGTAAATGGAAGTACTACAAAGAACCCCGTTTAGTGCAGTTATTTCACAAGTTTAGTTATATACACAGCTTGGAAAAAATTACAGAGGTCTGGACCTCGGTGACCTCAATGGTGGATACGGCCCTGCTTGTGCCCCTTGCTATCCATAGAATCAGCTGAGGGATGTGGTGGAAATGAACCAACTAACAAATAATAATACAATGGTGAGGAAACCTTTCAGTTATACTGAAATTAAGACTCTTTATACGACTTGTGAGGTTGTTGTATGTGAGGACTGCTTATAGATGTGTGTAATTTGTGTGTGTAGAGACTGCAGGCATGCTGGTGGAGTTTACTGTGCACTGTTTGACCCTTTGAGGCGCCTCTTGTTTATGTTTAAATGTGATTTAAGAAAGGATCTGAAATGATCAAAAAAGGACAGGCACCTTGCTGTAGCCACATTTTACACACCGGACTGGAGTTTAGTGTGTGGAGCTGTGTGACCCCAGGGGTGTGTGTGTTACTCAGATTTTTTTCCTTAAAAATCCCATATTAAACTCTTTTTCAACAATATATTATAGGTCTCAGATATATACAAAACACGTCCCTGAAGTGTTTGGCTCGAAATACCAAACATATCATGAAATGCAAATGAGCTGCCACTCCCCACGCCCCTCTGCAGTGTGTTTGGTAAAAAAACAAAACAATGGTGCACCAGGAAGAGATTTAGTTGATAAGGTGGGCGGGTGTTACCTTGGTTGGTTATTGGCTAATAGTTGCACAACCCAAAAAAACACATTTGTGATATCACAAAGTGGCCACAATCTGATCAACTCATTTCCGGACAGGACAAAAAGAGAGAGAATATATTTTCTTGAAACTTCCCGACTCTCTTAACACAGACGGGACACATATATTTATGTTTAAAACACATGAAAAAGTGGATGTTGCATAATAGGTGACCTTTAAGTAAAATAAGTACCAACATGTAGGAATACTCCTGCAATCAAAATGTTACTTGAGTAAAAGTATAAAAATGTTGGCATCAAAATATACATAAGTTACCAAAAGTAATCATTATGCAGATTGGTCCATTTCAGAATAATATATGATACGTTTTGATTATAAATATTGATGCATTAAGGTATTATCAAAGCTGATAAAGGTGCAGCCATTTGTATTACTTAGTATACTGCAGGGTAGCTTGTGAATTTTACTCAATGTTTAACTAAAGTCTTATTTAAGTGTTGTTTATCACATCATTAATTGAAAACTGCTAAGTAAATAAAGGTATTAAATAAATGTAGGAGATTTAAAAGTACACATTTTACCTCTGACTTGTAGTGGAGTAGAAGTACCTACAAATTGTACTTGAGTACACTTGAGTAAATGTACTTAGTTACTTTACACCAGGGGTTTTCAAAGTGTGGGAAGGTGAGCCTCCCCTCAGAGAATATAAGAACAGCCGCGCCCCCCCTCCCAATTATTATTGCTATTATTATTATTATTATTGTTGTTGCTATAATGCAGGGGTATTATTATCCAGTGGAATGCCCTTACCTACTGGCCTAGTTAAATCAAAGTGGTTACTTATTTTTGTCTGGGCAGTGTAGTTTTACACACCATCTTATTTGACTTTCTCAGGGCAGACCCCCACAAAGAAAAAAATATATGTACACACGTAAGGTCATCATCTTAACAGTTTTTAATGCTCGAGTCATCCGTGAGCAGAGCATCAAGTTGGCATGCCTATTACAGCTGAATGCGGCGATTACCATCTTGTTCAGCAAAACGCCTCACAAACGTATTAACATCCAAAGCTTTAGTGCGTTTTGATTCAATGCTGAGCACAGCCAAACTTGACAGTCTCTTCTCTGTCATTGTAGACCGCAAATACCTTATTCCTTCCGTGTACTTGGGTCCGAATGCTTCTCGTTTTCTGCCGCCCGTTCAAATGAAATCGCCGCCAATCACATTTCCTCGCTCGCGCCAGGGTTACAAGGCTCGCGTCTTGTGCTGCATTCACTTGCACTCGGACATCAGGGATTTTCTCTGATAAATGTCCGATGAGCCACAACTTTTATTTCAAAACAAAGCTGCCAACTGGGGTGGCCAGACGCCGTCTCCTCTCTCACTTTAGGTAACTTCACTAAAAATCGATCCATGTTGCCGCTCGCATAAAGTTAGCTGAAGTTAACGAGCTAGATTTCATTGTTTCTCTTTATTTTTTTCTCACGCTGCGCCTCCCCTGAAGCTCTCTGGCGCCCCCCAGGGGAGGCGCGCCTCACACTTTGAAAACCGCTGCTTTACACCATTGCGCAGACATACTGTATAATTTACTTTAAAAAACATACCTGTAAAAAAAGAGCAGTTTTACTTCATTATGGGTGAAGAAATGTAATACACGTCTCACTTGTTTCCCCACAATGTAGTTTTTGGACTATCCTGGAGAGCAGTATGCATTGTTTGTTTGCAGTTTCTTTGTCAATATGGTTGTGCAAAAAACAACATAAGTATATGTGTAGGTATAAAAGGAAGGGGATGGCTCTTTTCCTGCCGATTACAACGCATATTTGTTGATTTATATAATGTAGCCTTATTGTGGAAAACCTGCTTCATGACAAGTGCGTTTATTTGTTTAAGAAAGTATTGTTAAAATACATTTCTGTTTGCTTTTATGTTGACAGCCACAACTACTAACTGTGTTTATTGTTTCTTAAGACAGAGGACATAAAACAGAGCATCCTGCATCTTGGGGAGGGGTGACTCTTGCCAACTATAAAGAATAAACAATAGAAATTAAACTAATTGCAACCAAATAACTGCTTCCATATTCTGTGAAACAAGTTTGTTTCTCATTTTTACAGTCACAGGTATCATGTCTTGTTTTTTTTGTTTTAGGTTTGTTTGCTTTTGGCTTGTCAGATAGACCTGAGATATGGTGTATATGGCACTTTGTTAACCTGTTAAGCACCAAGCCTGTTTTTCATGTTTCAGGCTCGAAAATGACATGCCCAAAACAAATGACTACAACTTAACTTCTAAAAGGGTTATATGAATAATTTCTTTTATCAAAGCAAGGTTACATCTGTGAGTTGGATGTAGAAGTGTCAGAATCAATATAGATGTTTTTTATTTTAAAGAAAATTCAGATTTTACATAGTAAAAAACTGTAAATTATAGTGTCCGTCCAAAGATTATTTTTTACTTATAGTGAAAACTACCCTTGGATGATGGGTTAGTAGACTAAAAGCTTTAGGAATCCAAAGTGCAACATATAATAAGTACCCTGTATCAAGATTGATGCAAAACAAGTGACATTTGACCTTTTTAAGAGAGGTTTAGCCAAAACCACCCCACCTCTGAGGTGATTTGGGTGAAAATGTTTTTTTTTTCATATCTCTGGCCCCCCTTGGTCGATTTTGATGGTTGACACCTCTTTCTGACCGTTATAGCCAATATAATCGAAGGGGGAGTCCCCCACACACACACGTTGTGAAAACAAACGGTGGGGGCTTCCCACATGCAGGTTTGCACCAGAGTGAAGCGATCTCTCGCTCTGACATTTGGAAACGAAAAAGCAGTTTTATTGCTTATGGATTATCAGAAATCATTTCACAGAGGACACAGACACATTGGATTAACCTATGGATTAACTGCAGCATCGTTTTTTTATCGTTTTAATGCCATTGAAGACCAGTTTTGACCAAGGTAAACCATGTTAGCGTTTGTAGCTACCTAGCTCCACATGTTTTGATGTACGCTTTCGTTTATAGCGTCGCAAATGTTTATCACTGAGTGTTGAGGTGGGCACCCACAGATTCTGTGTCTCCAGGAGATGCTAATCGAGGGGTTGGCTGTGCATCTAGGATAAGTAATAAGGGAGTTATGAGTGAGTTTAGGTGCAGTGATAGGTTAAAAATTTTTCGCTCGTGGCTAATTCAGAGGCTGAGTGTTAGCATTGTGTTTTTTTTTTTGGAGAAAACAAATTAAAAAGATCAGTTAGCTGAGTTTCTTCCCGTTACATGGATATAAAACATTCATAGTTTATTAAATATTAAGATTCCTTAGACGTTGTTTCCTGCAAATGACGCGTTTATCCGCCCGGTACCGGGGGGCGGTGCGTAATAGGTTAAGAGTGTCTTATGTAGCTTATCTTGTTGCACTTGATTGAACAGTCTTGAGTCTTATAGAATAGTCATGGGTATGAGCTTTACATTACTTGGTTGGCAGTTATGCTTTGAAGCTAGGCCTGTCACGATCATTAATTTTGTTGGACGATAAATATTCCCGGAAATTATGGCGATAAACGATAATATTGTCGTCACCGTTGTAAGACCATTTTAGACCACTGACATAATGATAATAATAGTTCTAGTACATCCTTACAAACATAACTTTTTATTGAACATTCAACATTGCAAATGAAATGTGAAATAATATTCAAATATATAAATTATATATAATTTTAAAGAATCACACACAACCAAACAATACATTAAAGGTAGGTAAGTTTGAGAAACCGGCTCGAGATACACTTTTTGTTATATTCCATGGAATGCTCTTAACATCCCGATAGCAATGAATATCTTAAGTGCTTTGACAAAAAATCCATGAAAAAATGTCATCTGTGGAAGCCGATATACTGTAAAAAGTACGACCGGCCCGGCTAAAATAACTGGATGGCCTACCTGCCTGTCAGCCTTCCATCTGTGCACGAATTTATCTCGTGCCCTCATTGGTCATGTGCGCGTTCGTGTGTGTTGGAGGAGGGATATAAGGAAGTGGCATATTTTCACCGGTTGTGTATTTTCAAATTCTAGCGATCTCGAGCCGGTTTCTCAAACTTACCTACCCTACCTTTAAATAGACTCAGGCTGGAAAACAGAGCTCTCTCTTTCTCTCTCTCTCTCTCTCTCTCTCTCTCTCTCTCTCTCTCTCTCTCTCTCTCTCTCTCTCTCTCTGTCTCTGTCTCTGTCTCTGTCTCTGTCTCTGTCTCTCTCTCTGAGCACCTGTTTACAAAAAGCAACATACCGGCTCATTCAAGTCCGTAGGTTCGCCTCGTTGATTTGGCTTAAATCCAAAATATTCCCACACCGGAGATGTGGAGTTAGGTTTTGCAACCAATTAACTTCAAATTCCCCTCGAGTAAGTCACACGTTGTCTCCTGCTTGTCTCTATATTATTCATTTGGCTGCTACACTGTTGCACGCGGAGTGTCCTGACCTGGCTGTGTGTGAGCCCCGCCCCTCACAGCGCGCCGGGCCGGCAGCCACAGCGCACCGGGCCGGTAGAGTGGCCGGTCACCTCTTTATGTAAACAAACGCACATGTAAACGGCAATTTATCGAGGTCAGAAAAGTTATCGAGTTCATTTTTATTTATCGTACGATAAGTCATTTAATTGCTTATCGCGACAGGCCTATTTGAAGCATAGTAAAAATAAACCAAAGACGCATCATGCTAATTGCTAAGATATGTTTCAAATGACTGGAGAAGGTACGCAGCAACAGAAGAAGAAACCCACAAATAGTTTGTAGCAGAATAGAGGAAGACGAGGAACCCTGTGTTCTACTAAAGCAACACAGTATGAAATGTGTATTTTGTGTGTGTTTGTTTGGAGTGTATTTTTTGTGGCTATAGAATTTGTATAGAGTTTTATATAATCATGTATTTTATTTTAAGCCATGCTAGTGAGTTATTCATTTAGCTTCGTCGAAAGAGGCCAACCTATTACCATGATCAATAGCTGTTTACATTGGCATGTGTGTTATCTGCTGAACAAGTTCATCGAACCTGGGATTATTTAAGGTCGGAGGGGACAGAGGATGCAATATATGACTGTATAAGGTCAGAAAAAGGTTTTGCCATGTATGCTGTTTGAAGTATATATAACCTGTGATATTTTCTTGGTCTAGAGACATAGGCTCTTGACTGGTTTGGTGCAAGGTAATATGTCTCTTATACTGCTGTACAGCAAGATAATATTTAACTTCAACCATCTCTGTGTCTGTGTTTTTAATGTGTCCACTTTGTCTTATACTTTAATGTTTTGAGTGTTACATCGGATCCACAACATGTGTTTGTTTGGAGTGTAAACAGGACAGGCTCTGATTTTGCATCGAAGTATGACACAGCTGCGAAGAGATAAACAGAAAATCTGACACAATCATTACATCTGCTCCAGGATGAATATACGGAATGAGCTCATTCAAATATACAAAAGTGCGAGCGATACAGGGGCCCAGGCATGTGACAATGTATGTGAAAATGTTTACCCTGTAGGGAGATAAACCATATCATCCCATGACGTTCTTGAGCACAATCCTTCAAGGCCTCAGCATTCTTAAAGAATGACTGCAAAAGACTGCGAAAGTCGAAAACTCACTGGATTGACAGGAATAGCCTATGGTTTACATTAAATGAGTTGCACAAGGACATTTCTAGTGTAAGATTATGTGTCTCACAATTTTCCACTGCTGTTTTATGTATGTGTTGCAAGTTGTCTCCTCTTATGGGTTTTAATGCACTGATACTGTGTGTGACTTTGCACTGTGTATGACCTTGCAGCTGCCTCTCCTGAGATAGGAGAAGGCAGGGCATAATTCATGTTGTTGATACAGATGAGAGGACACTTTTTTCTTACTTTTTGTCTCCTCACTTCTTCGAGGGGCAAAGAGCAACAGTGGCGCAAAGGAAGTACGTGACTTTCCAGAGATGTCCCGACACCTTCCCAACACCGGCTGACGCCAACCCGATTTACGACTTTGTTGTTACCTCCTCACTTTAGACTATATAAGCTTGATGTTATCTCCCGCTCCTTTGAGCAGCATACCTCATGTGTGTGAGTTGAACCATATCCTTTGTATGTGACTTAACTCTGCTGCTTCTTGCAAGAATAAATGAGTACCTGACTATTGATTCTCAACCCGGTGTCGAGTGATTGTCGAGTGATATTTTCCTAACAGTATGTTAACAGTTTTTCTTTCTTCTTTCAGGAAAACCAGCTTTCACTCTGGTACTTCAACAGATGATAAAAAATGCAGTCTAGTTTGTGGATTAATGGCCAGTACCAGCTGGTGGGACAACTTTCTCAGGCATCACAGGCTGCCGCTCAGGTGAGCCACGAGACGATGATGCAAGCTAGGATTGCAAATAACCAATACCAGTACACGAGGGCGAACACAGGAGTCCAACAACCACCGAGAGCTAATTACAACCATCATGATGGAGGTTACTCAAACAGACAACCATCAAATCAGCAGACCATATCACTTCCTCATCAGGCAGTTTCGGATCAGCTGTCAGGCCGGGGGAACAATAACTATATACTTAGGTTGTTGGCTAACAACAAACACTCCGATAATACTGAAAGAGGAAATCCTGGTTTGCAGGCCTCTAATGGATTTCAGCAAGATTTTCACAAGAACTATGCTCAGAATTCATTGATCCAAAGTCAACCCAACATGATGAAAGCAAAAACAACATACTCTCAGGAAGACATGTCTTATCTTCAGAACCAATCAGCTAGAGTTCCTGGGAATCAAGCAGAAAGGACACAGGATGGTAATGTTGTAGCTGATCTCCAAAATTCTAGAGATCAGAATAACTTAATCTATAAAGGAACGTCGACATATCCTGTTCCAAGATACAACACAACAGCTACCCCAGCTCCAAACGTAGAGGTGATTGACACGGCTGCCGTACACAGAAGACCGACCCCTTATAACCCTTATCACAGGCCAAATGCCACTCAGCATGGTTTCTCCCCTTCAATTCCCCCTCCAAGTTATGATGCAGTCATGTCTAAGTCTTTCAGAAACGACAGCACGACAACAAACTCACGCTCAAGCTTACAGAATGTGCAAGTTTCCAACCGAAGTCCGAAAACTCAACAATACTCGACACATTACAATGGGGAAGAGGCTACCTCTACCATTAACCCAAATTCATATAGCAGGCAGCACGAGATCAGCCTTCAACATTCTGCTGTTACACCTCAGGAAACGCACAAAAAAAAAAAAATCGCCGAACTTCTGGTATATCTACACAGTGAAGAGGATACAAGTTTCTCTATTGAAGGAAAGCAGTCTGTCAGCCAGGACAGAATGGCAGAGTCTAATAATTATATGCAGCCTGTGACATCTAATGATTCTTATAACTCAAATGCCTCCAAGTATTTGCCAATCAATTCTGGACTTTCTTTGCCTACAAACAACCACATTTCTATGTCACCACAGCATAGCCAAGATGTCCAACTTCAGCAAAGCACCGCACAAAAGTTTTTTTATGCAAAACAAGATGGAAGTGGAAATGGAAGTATAGCAGCCTATGCCCGTCCCCCCCCGAAAAATGTTGTGTCTTTAAGGGATGCGCCTCATCTGAAGCAGTTGCCTGAAGGCATTTCTTCACAGACAATTGAGACTCAATCATCAGCAGCAATTAGTCGTGAATGGGTTGAAAAAGTCTCGTCAGTCAAGGCAAATGCCAGCTCCATTCACTCTTCTCCTGGACACACAAGAGCTGTTGCCGTTGTGCAGCCATTGTCGCAGGAAAGCTACCAGGATGCCAGCAAGCAGACCAGTTCTACCACGGTCAGTCAATTGTCTGTAGACAAATCTGCAATCACGCATTCAGCAGCAAACAAGGCTGATACCTTTGAATCATATTTAGTTTCAGCTGAGACTCATGACTTGTCTAAAAATCAGTTGTTTGCTGATGACATAGTATCTCAATCGCCTTTAAACATGCAAGTAGACCATCCATTGGCACTAAACGTGGACAAATCTGTAACCTCCAAAGTGCCTGTAAGCCAAAGCAGTGAAAAGGACCAAAGTGAGAGGCCAACAGATCCAAAAGAGGTACTTGACCTCTCCTCCATCCCAACAATACCATGGACACTAAACGCATTAACTAAGTTGATACAAAAAGAAGAAAAAGCACATACAGAGTTATATAGGCTTGCGAAATTAGACTCTGACATCAAAATGCTTACTGACATGTTTAACGATATGGTCGAAAAAAAGCCAGACTGGCACAAGGATTTAATGAAGGAAATTCATGAATGTGGCGTCAAAGATGAAACGCCAGACTCTGTCACACTGTTACAAGTAAACAGACGCTTTAGTGAGCAACTCAAAAGCTGCCATGTCCTCAAATATAATGAAGTTTATTCAGCCCCACCCTACACATCATCATGGTTGAATGTCAATGAGCAGCTCGATGAGATTGACAAAGAGTTTGACTTCCCATGGTCTTTGAAGCATCGTCTTGAGAGTGAAAGCCAGTTAGATCAGGTCCAGATAGACAACAGTATTCCTGGCATTATTGAATTGAGTGAGGAAAAGCAAGACTCAACTGTGGATGCCGATTCAACAAGTACTGCTTCTCCTTATGGAACAGAAATTGACGATTCCAGTGACTCGCATTACTCTTTTAAAATCCAAGTTTTATCTCAAGCAGAGGCCAAAGTCATCTATGAGCAATTACAAAGCAAGCTGCCAACAAGTATGGACACACACAATCAACAAAAGAGAGTCACAAAAAGCCCTGTGGAGGGTGAGCTGCCTAAGGATACAGTTTCCACATTGAGTAACACATTACTGGAGAACAAGTCAGTCTCTCCAGTAGACCAGGTTTGCTGCGTTGTGAGGTTTATGGAACAAATTTGGGGGTCAAACCCTGCTTCTTTGAGTAAATGCGAGTGCAAGAACAAGACCAATCATGAAGATATACCAGACCCAACCCTTGATATGGAAGAGATTGCAGTACATAAGGAAGATCAAATGTGTGCGTTCGGGTCTGACAGCAAATTCCACTCTGTCCCAGAAGGAAAGAAGCCCGCTGAGGGCGACAAGAATGTCGTCAATCGGGTTGAGACACTTGATTTGCTTGAGCTTTGCAATGAACTTGAAATCACCATTGACTTACCTGAAGATAATGAGAAAGCTCACTCATATTCTGACAATGATCCAAATAATGTTTCGGGCAGTGATAATGAAGTTCCCAAACTGATGCCAGACCTGGAAAAGGATTTGGAACTAGCAAGAAATAAAAAAAAAGAAACCAAACAAAGTAAGACTGAAAGTTATCATTGGAAAACTGAGGACGGACAAACTCAAGCTGCGACCAGTTCTCTAAAGACAACTTGTAGTGGTAAACATGACGCTGTTTTTAGGAAAGAAGAGACTAAGCACAATGTTTTTTATTCACTCTTCCAGAAATCTAAGAAACGCAAATCCCTTGTTGAATCTCAGCGTGTCCTTGAGGGCGCTTCGAATGAGAAGGTTTTCATCTGTGCAACTGATAACGAACCATCAGCCTCTAACGCTCAAACTGTACAACTGGTACTGTTTGGCTCATCAGCACAAAACAAGTGTGTTTTGATGGGCAGCAGAAAGAGCCATGTGTCATCTGCCGAAGCTGTTTCTGCTGCAGTGCAAAACCCTCCGATGGTTCTCACCATTAAACTCAGTCCCATGAAGAGAAAGTCTGAAAGTGAAACTGCCTCGGCAAGGAAGATCAAGCGAAGGCTTTGTGAAAAATCAAGGATATCTTTCTCACCAACCAAAATGAAGCTCAGACACAAACTCAAAACGCCGAAGTGTACTCTAGCCACTTCGTCTGGACCAAGTCTGAAGAAAGCTGAAAAGGTTGACCCCGCCAACACTGAGGAGCTGCCAGTTTCCTCTGAAACGAGGATCTTGCGTGGAACAACTAGGCCATGCCTGAGTCTGAAGAAGAGGAGGTCCCACGCTAAAGAACGTGTAGGGGAGAAGACCAAGAGACGCACCGCCACACTCTCCCAGCCTGCAGATCAAGAGAAAAGTGAGGAGGAAAATGAGAGCAGTGCTGTCATGCCTCTCCTGAAGAACGATGTCCTGAAGTTCGGTGTCTTACCCAAAACCTTCGACTTCAAAGACGGCTCTAATGGCAGAAAGGAAAACTATGATCCTCTTCCAGGTAAATAATTGTATTGAGCAATTTAAGCACCATACTAAAAAGAAAACTCAATAAATCTTATCAATGAACATTTTTATTTAACTATGAAATCATATGAGGGATTTTAGGACTTGTCATACACACCCGGGAAGTTAAAAAAGATGTCAAAAGGGGTTTATAGTATTTAGCAAAAAATTGCCTTGTGTGTTAGGACAGAATTGCAATGTACTAGTCAGAGTTCTGATGTTCAAAAGAGAGGCGCTAAATTCAGATTCAATGAAGAAAATATAATTGTTAATTAAAACAATTCAATATTTTAAAAAGCCACTTTGTGGACATTGGTGAGCAGAATTTTAAAAAACTGCATATATTTACATGCATTAATATGTTTGACAGCCAAACCCAGGAATCTTGAACTTTTACAGTGTATCAGTGATAATGAATTCTGTTGTGATTTTGTTTTTAAAAAATACTTTTTTTCCCCAGGCAACTCTGACCTCGTGGAAGAAAAGGACGAAAGCCCAAGCAAAACTATCAAGAGGGCAAGAGGTATTACAAATAAAACTTAACACATAAAAACTCTTTAATCATTTAATATTATTATTTAGGGATTTAGGCCACAGTTTTCCTGATTGTAATAAATCAACTGTTCCTAAGGTACATGGTATCAAAATCCAGAAGAGAAGAATATGTTAATACCTCCCACCCCCAAGACCGACAACATCTTCCATGAGTTTCAGAAGAAATTCAAGGACAAGATGCAGCCATCCGTGGATAAATAACTTGACAGGAAGTAGACTGTAGAAGATTGTCTTCTGTCTGCAAAATTCCTCAAGAGAAAAATGTCTTGCAAAGACTTACAGAAATGATGTCTTTGTGTTTTTGTACTGCAAAGGCAATATTGAGGAAATTGAAGTTGCCAGTTTTGTATAAATGTGTTCCAACTAATCTGTCCATTATGTAACTGCTGTATATGTGTCACATCTGTTCTCATCAGTTTACATATAATATTGTCATTTGTTTACATTGCTCTTAAGTCTGATAAACATATTTGATGCAAAACGTAACTTTTGGACATTCGGTTTTCTTTAACTTACATCTTTATATTTTCATACTTTTCTACTTAAAGTGGACCTATCATGCTATATTTAAATTATATATTGTCGGGCCATACCTATAAGGTATATTTATAAGTTTCTGTTTTCAAAATACCAAACAGATCATGCATTTTAGCCATGCCTCATTTCGCTCTATGTGCTGTTTGCTGTCTACGGGGCTGATCTCTGTGAGCTGCAGCTGACCACGCCCCCCTGCAGGAGAGGGGAGCCGTGCTCTGATCAGCTGCTGGGCTGTCAGAAGAGGGGGAGAAAAAGAGATCTCCGTCCTCCGTGTTTTATTATATAGAGTCGTTATTCATTTGTTTTAAAGCTCAATAAATAACAAAGAAGACCTTTGACCGGCACTTTTCTAATTTTGTCCGGAAGATTTAAACTTTAACGGACATCTTGACCGGCGAAAGAAACTGAAACTGAAACTCTGCCGCACGGTCCCCTCGTTCCTTGGAAGAGGCGGAGAGGTGGGTGTTTGTCATCTGCTGGTGGACTAACCGGAGAGAATTACAGTGCTTGCCTCGACGGGGAGGGATTGCATTGAATTAAAGCAGCGGGAGAAAACGCTTGCCTCGGGGAGGGAGAAAAAAAGCCACAGCGGAGAATAAACAGAAGGGTAACCATGGTAACTATGGGCGGGAAGTCTTCTTCGCTGCTTTTGTGGCAGACTACAGCGCCACTTACAGGCCTGGCATATGTACTACAGCGTCTCCAGCGCTTTCGAGCGGCAATGGCCGGCCGTGACCCAACCCCACATTCCCCTGATAGGTGGAGAGTTGGCCCAATAGCCGTAGCGCCACCGTCCTGACGTCAGGACAGTGTTCAAATCTGGATCAGTTTTTATCAGATCCGTTGCAGCCCCTTTTTTAGAGATTTGGGTATGGAGGAAAATAGAGAGGGTTGTGTTTACTGACACTTGTTGCGCGTTTCCACTACACGGCCTCGCTCGGCCCCGCTCGGTATGGCTGGGCCTCGTTAGGACTGGCTCACTTTATGGCGCATTTCCATTACAGTTTAGGAACTGGGGTAGTATCTATAGTAACGCAGTGTAGGCGGAGCCGTGACGTGATCTTCAATGAGAACCCCAGAAAAACAACACAGCCGTTAGCTGTTAGCACTCAGAGCTCACAGCTCCTCATATGTTCAGAAACTAGACAAAAGTTAAACAAGTACAAACCACAGACTGCCTGTGTCATGGTGAATACAGTCGCTGCTTTATTTATGTCTGTATAGGCCGTTGTTGTGAGTGTGGACGGTCGGAGCATATACTGCGTTAGCTTAGCCAATCTCCATTTAGAAAACACGCATTTTAAAAGGTTTTTCGCCTGCCGTCTGTCTGCAGACTTGACAAAGCATTAATTCATGGTTTTTACTAACCGGTATCAGTATGTTGTTACTTCGGCATCATTTTGAAACGTGTATTACAATTAAATCACGGTCAAATATGTCCATCTTGTTGTAGTTGTAGCCCCCTTGCCAGCGATGCTCTCTCTAGTTTAGCATACTCAGCCCGACTCAGCCTCGTTGTCTCTGGCCCTAGACCCGCGATTTTATGAGGCCAGAAAAACTGTGAATTAGGACCCGCCGGCCGGTACTAGGCCAAGTGGAAACGCAACCAAAGACGGGCCGCTGACGTCACAGCCCTCTTAAACCGTGCTCCGCGCTGTAGTGGAAACGCGCCATTGGTGAGTTCCCTGGAACACCGGGGACACATATTCATGTATAAAAGACGTACAAAAGTGCATTTTGCATGATAGGTCCCCTTTAAAGCAATATTTTTCTACTTTATTTACATTTTAGAAATATATATTTTTTTATATGAAACAAGAACTGCGAAGTAGTGTCGTTTGTATAATTCTTGTACAATTTGTTTGTCTTTTACTGTTTTACCAGAAATAAACAAACTCGCTGAGAATAAATTGTTGTTTTCTGTCTTTCTAAAACACACGTGTTTGAAGTTTATCAAGGATGCAAACGTCCTTTACAGTACATGGATAATCCTCATACTTAGATTAGCGTTTAATCTCCCAAAATCCCCTGCATTTTTCAACTGTTAAGAGTGTTTCTACTATAGCAGGGGTCTCCAACCTTTTTTAGGATGAGAGCTACTTTCAAAAAATAAAACAAGTCGTGAGCTACTTTTACTCCTCTTTTTATTGTTTTTTGCAGTGTATATATTTAGCACATTTTAACATTATGATATGCTTACCTTTAACCTTTGTGTGCTGTTTGGGTCTGTGGGACCCATTTTCAGTGTTTACTAAAAGAACATTTATTGAATTTAATTATTTTAACCTGCTTTATTTGGGGGTGGACCTCACCTCCTCTAGGGGGGTCCGGGGGCATGCTCCCCCGGGAAGATTTCTTTTTAAATGTTGAAGTGAAATGCATCAATCTGGTGCACTTTGAGCACAACATGAATTGATGGATACAGCTCTCAACACTCATATGAAAGGGAGCTGTATACTTTTCAATAATCCAAACATCTTTATAATATGATCACAACCAATAACAAATCATTTAAACTTGTTTATTCTTATCTTATGTTACCTAGTTAGCATTTTTTCTTTCTATTTATGCATATTTTTACTATTCACTCCCCTTTTAAATACAATATAGTACACATTGGAATGATTTCTTACTTTATTTGTTACAAAAATATTAAATAGATAAAGGTGTGCTCTCTCTCTGTCTCGCTCGCTCACAGAGACTGTGTGCTCCTCCGTGGCGATGACGGCTTGCGTTAAAAAAATAAAATAAACATATTTGTAAAGTGGGGGGACACAAACGGGATTTCGAAAAGTGGGGAGGACTGTCCCCAGTGGAAATTACGCCATGCGTGTGTGCGTCAAGTGCAATAAATATGCAAGTTGCAACACACACGCAGTAAAACTCTGCCCCTCATGATGTGTTGTATAGGCTGGCATGACTAGGCTGTGTTCAATGGGGCTGATGTGTTGTGTAGATTCTGCCAGAAGGAAAGGTTCAACTCCTTATGAAGCGGTGAGCTGCCGCTCCACATTGCTTTTCTTCCAGACTGCAACGCTGGTCCCGCAAATCAAGCAAGAACGTGATTGGTCGATATTCATTGTGGGGGTGGGGGGAGGAGGGGTGTTAGATAGATATAGAGTTGTAGTAAGTAGATATCCCAGATAGCAAAATACATTAATTCAACATTGGATTTTGGTTAAATTGGTTATTTTTGGTTGAGGTTGAAAAATCAATGTTGATTCGATGTGTTATTTACAGATACCATTTCAACGTTTGAAAAAATGTTGTTGAATCAATGAAATATAGATGCCGGTTTTTCAACGTTGAAATTCCCTACATTGAATTTACATTGTTCCAACGTGAGACCAACTCTCCCCTCCCCCTCCCCTATACTTGTATTTAAAACACAGCATAACAAGGATTTTTGAGTTAACCGTTAATACCGTTGCAGTCACATTTTCCTCCATGGAAACCCAGACGACTGTGCGCATGCGCATTGCTTTCGTCTACGGGGTTTCCGCAGGGTCTGAGCAGGGTCCTGTCACTCCCAGGACCCTAGTTGTTTTGCAACATCGCCACCTAGCGGATTGGATGACCGCAAAAGTACAACCAGTGAGTATTGAGTCTCATACACAGCGAGTCTCTTTAGACATTGTAATGCTTGTTATTAACCACAAAAATGCATGAAAATATGTTTTTCTTACTGAAATTAAATTATTATTTCAAGTTGTTGTTAATATGTTTTTGTTTTTTAATAACAAATGTATTTTTTTATGTCAGATGTAAAAAGATAGTCTTTTATATTTGTTTTATCAAATTTGACATGCAACATAAATATATATATATATTGTAGTAATAATGATATAATCTATTTATAATTGTAAATGTACATTTAGATGTATATTTTGTTAAAACAAAACAAAACTGTTGATTTAGTTTTTGGGAGAAGGGGTGGGGTTAAATAAGTGTAAACTCCTTTGAATCAATTTGATACTGCTTATGTTTCTACAGTATCATAATTCTCTTGTTTCATTTCATTATTATTATATATATTTTTTTTATTGTATTACGTTCGAAATAAATCAAATCAAATGTGTCTTTGAAGAGGTGCTAGATTACTCAAAAACAACTGTTAGTGTGTTTATGCACCAGGCTGCAAAAGATAAACATGCAATTTGACGAGAGGCATTTCAGTGCAGAATACATTTGTATTTATTGGGCACAATTTCCACACTGTGGATTCTTCAATGGGGTGAGGCGGGGTCTGCTGTTCCCTCAACCACCAGAAAACAGCTCCAGCTGCAGTACCCCGGGAAGCCCTCTTCTGAGTAAACACCCTGTAATATTCCTCGCCGTCCACTTCCCCGGTAGCCTGTGCCAACGTCCTTATACAGGTTGTCACACTGAAAGCACCTGGAAATTTGGTAGGCCTTCCTAAATTCCTGTTTGTGTCCCTCTGTGAAGATATTCCAGTTGACGACACCTGAAGTAGAATGTCATAAGAAAATTACAATTCAGACAGAAAAAGAACAAAACCTTCCTTAATTTAGCTGACCTTACTCTTAGTCAATCAACTTCATAATACTAGGATAGGAGAAGGCAGAAGTTGCTCAGTTTGGCTGGGTGGAACACATTTGAGGCACAGAACGGGCAGTGAAAGACTTCGCAACATGTCGTGCATCGTTGTAAGTCGGGCAAGGATCTCCCCTCTTGGATTGAAATATGCATCTTGAAAAAGAGAGAGCCTAATTGGTCAAACTGAACATTTTGAAATACTTTCACAGACAGACATAAATTAGGCCTAATTGTTAGATTCTGACACGACAGATTCTAACCTACAGAATAGGCCGACATAATAACTGACTAAAACACCTCATGCAATATTACAAAACATGTCAAAATGACGAGACTGTCTGATAAACAGTAAACAGGCAGTCAGCACAGTTAAGATTATTTACAATG